CAGTTTAATCCCCAGCACCATATTCCACCCTAGCCCCACCCCCAGGGCAGGTTGAGCTGGCCACACAAAAAATAAATAAATAAAATAGACAAGGCAGGACCAGGGATATAGCTCAGTGGCACAGAGCCTGCCTGGCAAGTGCAAGGTCCTGAGTTCAATTCCTAGTACCAACAAAAGCAAAAGAAGTGAAAGTGACTCCACTGAAATCAGTTCACAAGTGAAGATCAGTAGTGGGTTACCGAGGGCCAGGCTGCGGGCAGAAACCCAACTCTGCACAGCAGAAGCAACCGGCGCTCTTCTGGCTTGAGTGGCAGCTGGAGTATGGAACAGCAGATTGGATTGGGACATGTGCACGCATGGTACATGGGCCTGCAGATGTGCCTGTGTCCCAGGCCCACAGCTGGGGACCCTTTCTCCTCCACCCATCCTGCCATTCCAGCTGGCTGAGGGGCAGTGAGAGGCGCTATCCCAGACCCAGAACAATCTCTCCCAGCAGCAGGGGTGCAGGCTGTGACAGCTGCAGAATGGGGGACTTCTCACTGCAGGGTGTAAGTTCCCTCCTGCTGTGTAAGAACCCCTTCAGGGTCTGCTCTGAGCTCAGGTACGGGACAGACACTGGGGTTTCTGTTCTAAAGAAAGCAGAAGTCACAGCATGGTTTTTAAGGCAAGAAAATGACCTGGTAGGAAGGGGCTACTGGCAGAAGAGGGCAGCAGGGGAGGTTTCCTGGGGCTTCCTGTGACTTCCTGTGCCACAGAAGCAGCCAGCTGGCTGGTGGGGAGGTACCCTTGGTGACCAGAGTGAGGCCATCCGAGGAAAGCTGACAGGGCAGACAGTGTGGCCCCAGAAGACAAGAGAGGTGTGAGTGTGCAAGGACAGCAGGGCGACATAACCAGGGACAGGCTCAGGGCGGCTGGACCATGAAGGTCTGTTTGGGATTCAGAGAAGCCCAGTCTGAATGCAGGGTTCAGGCACAGCCACACCCAGGCGCTGCGGTTCAGGCAGGGGACTCAACATATGTGGGCTGAGGGAAGTGTAAGGGTGCCACATCGGCCCAGGAGGTGTTCACTGGTGACCGTGCTTCCTACACTGGCGGAACGGTGATGCCAGCGTGGCACCGCAGTGCACTGCAGGGAGAGTGGCAGCGAGATTCGTGCGCTCCCAGTTTCCGGGTATTCCACGGCAAGCGGCACTGCTGTGCGCTCAGGGCGAAGGTCACTAACCAGAACCACAGGTGTCACTCGAAAGTAAAAGGAAAAAGGTCATATTTATTAATGAATCCGTTTCCACTATTTGACAGCATCCAGGGCCACGGAAAAAGATCAAGTAGGAAAGAC